TGAGGAGATAGCAGCCCAGTTACCTGCTGCCACAGGAAATGCACTGGCAGAAACCAGTTTGCTTCATCCCCTCCCAGTCTGGTGTCTGTGGCCTTCCATGTGCTCCCAGAGCCACCACGGAGAGCCAGAGGCTCCAGCTCTCCCTCCTCCCCAAAAATAAATTTATTAATTCATTCATTTAATTTTTAAATTTCCCCTTGGCTCCTGCTGCAACCAGTTGCCAAACCTGTTTCCCACAGCCAGGGTTGGAGCTGGAAAATCCTGCTTGGGAGGGTGAGGCAGCAGTGTGGGGGTGCCCGGGGGGCTGGGAGCCCCTGAGCAGCCCCTTCCCCTCTCTGTGGGTGCCAGGCAGTCTGGGGGTCCCTCCCTGAGCAGCCCCTGCTCTCCCCTCAGGCAAGCTGAGCAGCCCGTTCCTGCAGAAGGAGCTGGACCCCAGCCCTGCCTCCCCCAGCAGGGATGCCTGGGGGTCCCCCCCGGCCTCCCCAGGCCCTGCAGCAGGTTGGTGCTTGGCTCCCTGCTCTCCCCAGGGCTTTCCCCCTCCTCTTCCCACTGCATTTCTCACAAATTTGGGCACTGCTTGGAGATCCCGTTTGGGCTCTGCCTGCAGCCAGGGCTGAGGGTGGTGCTGAGGATGAGGATGGTTCCTGCTTGTCCTCAGCTGGGGGTGCCAAGGCCAGGCTGGGCACTGGGGTTTGGAGCACCTGGGGCAGGCACCGGGGGTGTCCCTGCCCTGGCACCGGGGGTGTCCCTGCCCTGGCACCGGGGGTGTCCCTGCCCTGGCACCGGGGTGTCCCTGCCCTGGCACCGGGGTGTCCCTGCCCTGGCACCGGGGGTGTCCCTGCCCTGGCACTGAGGTGTCCCTGCCCTGGCACTGGGGGTGTCCCTGCCCTGGCACCGGGGTGTCCCTGCCCTGGCACTGAGGTGTCCCTGCCCTGGCACCGGGGGTGTCCCTGCCCTGGCACCGGGGTGTCCCTGCCCTGGCACTGGGGTGTCCCTGCCCTGGCACCGGGGTGTCCCTGCCCTGGCACTGCCCACTGCTCTGGGCAGGAACTGGTTCCAGGGCAGGGCTGGCTGTGCCCAGAGCTCTCCCCGTGTGCTGCGGGTGGCACTGAGGGCTGGCCCTGTCCCCAGATCACAGAGCACAGGTTGGTGGGGCTGGGCTGGGGTCTCAGAGAGCCCCCAGCTCCCCAGCGGGGCCGTGCTGGGCTCCGGCCCGCTGTCCCCAGGCCACTGTCGCCACTAGATGCTGCTCTTGGCCAGGCTCTGCTCCGGCCCCTCCCTCCATGGCAATGATGCATCCTGAGCCCGTTTATCCCTCCCCCGCCGGGGTGGATCTGTCCTTTGTCCTCTCCGCTGCTCCCCAGATCCCTCCTCGCTCCATCCCTGGCTGGGCAGGGGTCCCGGGACCCCAGGCAGGGGAGGGGACAGGGGCTGGCCCCGGTGACCGAGCCCTGGTTCCTCCTCAGGACGAGACTCTGGGTACAACTCTGGTGTGCCGGGCTCCCACGGGGAGGAGAACCTGTACGAGGAGCCCCCCGAGCCCTCGGCCATCTACGAGGAGCCCCCCCAGGTGAGTCTGGGGGCCCCGGTCTGGGTGGGGGAGTGTGGCTTGTCCCATCCCCGGGATGAGCTGGAACTGAAATCTGAGCTGAAATCACTGGAGATGGTGGAACCCCAGAGCTCAGGGGTGCTCAGGGTGTGCCTGTGTGGCAGAGGGTGCTGCTGTGTCCCTTCCCAGTGCTCCCAGTCGAGCCACTGGTGCTGAGTCCCTGGCACCCCTGCACCCCAGGGCTGTTCCAGCTGCTGTCAGTGCCACCTCCCAGAGCCAGTGTGGGGACAGGATTCATCTCAGCCTCCTTTCTCCTGCTTCCCTGCCCCTCTGGGCCATCCCAGCTGCTCCTGGTGCACTCCAGGGGCTCCTCCTGGGGTTGTGCTGTGCTGCCCCTCTGGTTTGTTCCATGCTCCCCAAACCATCAGCATTCCAAGCGTTTTCTTGTTCTGGAGCTTGTCAGGGGGTGTCCAGCAGGTTCCAAAGGATCCCAGAGGAGATGGGCTCAGTGCTCCCCTCGGCCTTTCCTGGGGAAAGCAAACCTCAGCCAGCTCAGGCTCTGGCAGAAAGGTTTCAGAAGCTGGAGCTTGTGTGTTGGGGGATGAGCCTCTGTCTGCAGCAGGGATCCCGTGGGGTTTTCTGCCCCTGGTGTTTCCACTGGGGTGAGATCCCAAGGGGCAGGGATGGTGTTGAGCCCCGTGGCCACCTTGGCTCTTGGGCTCAGAGCTGCTTTGCTCCCGTGGCACAGCTTCCCTGGAGCCCAGGGTTTACTCCAGAGGGCACCCAGGCCCTCCAGCCCCAGCTCCCCAGGCCTGGGGGGGCTGATGGACGTTGCTGGGCACTCCTGTTCTCTCCCCTGCTGCTGATCCCTGCTCTCCTCTCCCTCCTGAAGGAGCAAGCTGATGATGCCAAGTACGGCTACAGAGTGGAGTACCAGGAGCCCCCGGACCTGGCGGGGAAGGGGCTCTGTGCTCGGGCACTCTATGACTACCAAGCTGGTGAGACCCTCTGAGCCACTGCTGCCCTTGTCCCCAGTCCCTCTCCAGTGCTCTTGGAGCCCCTCCAGGCCCTGGGAGGGTCTCCCTGGAGCTTTCCCTGCCCCAGGGGAACATTCCCAGCTCTCCCAGAGGGGCTCCAGCCCCGGGGCAGCTCCACATCCCTGGGACGCCGGGGCTGGGGTGGCTCAGGTGCTCTGACTCCACTGGCCCCTGTGTCCCCTTGCAGCTGATGACACCGAGATCTCCTTTGACCCCGAGAACATCATCACCAACATCGAGATGATCGACGAGGGCTGGTGGCGCGGCTTCGGCCCCGACGGCCACTTCGGGATGTTCCCCGCCAACTACGTGGAGCTGATCGAGTAGGGGGCTGCTGGGGGGCTGCTGGGGGGCTCCAGACCCCTGGGGCTGCTCCAGACCCCCGGGGCTGCTCCAGACCCCGAGCCCACCCAGCTCCTGCCTGGCTCTTCCAGCGACACGTGGCTTTTTCTTCTTTATTTCTCTCTCTCTCTCTCTCTCTCTCTCTCTCTCTCAGTGAAGTGCCATTCCCCAGTCCCTCGGCAGTGGAGCTGCCCCCTGTCGCCCCCAGCTGCCCTTGGGTGGGGGGAGGAAGGGTCCCATCCCACCCTGAGCCCTCCTCCCTTGGCTCTGGGGTGTGACAAATCCCTCACGGGAATTTTCAGGGAACAAATTAAAAAATTACCTCCCCCCTGTGCTCCCGCCCTGCCTCCCTCCCCGAGACCTTGGACCTGCCACACTGGCCTTCCCCAAGCTCATTTCATTGGAGAAGCTCATCGGAGTAATTCTGGGGTCCTGCAGGGTCTGACATGAGCAGGAGCGGTGAATCCTGGCCCTGCTCCCCAGCAGCACCCTGAGCTCACCATGTGTGATTATCCTGTGTTCTCCTCCCTGCTCTCCCCCTGTTCCCTCACCCCAAACCTGCTCTGGGATTTGAACTGGGAGTGAAAAACCTCCCCTCCAGCCTGGCCAGGCGCGTGGGACCCCCTCTGCACCCCAAGCTCACTGTGAACAAGGAAAAGCCCAGCCCAGCCCCTCCCTTTGGAGTTTCCTGCCCTGCTGTCACTTTAGGAACAAAAGGAGAGAAAGGCTTGGGGGGTCCCAGCTCAGCCCCCCCTCTGCAGGTGCTGGGGGCCATGGTGGCTTCTCTGAGTCCCTCCCCAGCTCCTTCTCCTCCCTGCTGCCCCCGGGCCCTCCCCAGCGTCAATAAAAGGGCTTTTCTTTGGTGATGGGTGCATCAGGCTCCTGCTGGGGACTGGGGAGGAGTGCAGGGGTTTGGGACTCACTGGGGAGGTGCAGGGGGGGCCCGGCGTTGCTGGGCAGTGAGTCACGGCCGGGGGGGCCCGTGCATGCGGCGGGGCCGAGCTGCCACGTGGCCCTGCCACCAGCGGGGCCCGGGGAGCCTGCGGGGCCGGCACGGGGGGGGACACCCGCGACACCCCCGGGCACCACCGGGGAGCGCCCAGCCCGGCCTGAGCCGCAGCCCTGCCGGCGGGGCGGTCACGCGTGTGTCATGTGTGTGCAGAGGGAGCCCCGGGCACTGCCAGGGTGCGCCGGGCCCCTGGGCCCTGTGTCACCCGTGTGGGGCGAGATCCCATGTGCAGTGTATGGCCTGTGTGTGGGATCTCATGTTCTGTGTGTGTGTATGTGATCCCATGTGTGACCTGTGTGTGGGATCTCATGTTGTGTGTGTGTGTGTATGTGATCCCATGTGTGACCTGCGTGTGGGATCTCATGTTCTGTGTGTGTACAGGGGGTGCAGGGGGTGCCGAGTTTAGGGGCACAGGGGTTTGGAGGCACAGACGCCAGGCACTGCTGTGTATGGGGGCATGGGGGTACGGGGGCACAGCTGGTGCCGGGTTTGGGAGCACAGGGGGTGCTGGGTACAGGGGCACGGGGGTTTGGGGGCACAGGCCTACAGGCAGTGCCAAGTGCCCACGGTGCCGATGCCAGCCCCGGGGCCCGGCCCTTTCACGGCCCGTGGGGCCGGGCTGGTGGCACCGGTGTCCTGCCGGTCCCCAGGCCGTGTGAGCGCTGATGCAGCGTCAGCTCCCGCGAGCCGGGCCCCGCATGTCGCCGGTGTGGGCTCGGTACCGGTCCCAGGCAGTGCCGGTGCCAGGCAGCGCGGGTCCCGGGCAGTCCTGGTGCTGATCCCGGTGCCGGTGCCGTTGCGTGTTCCCGACAGTCCCGGTCCCGTTCAGTGCCGGTGCCAGCGCGGGACCCGTGCGGGCTCCCGGCAGTCCCGGTGCCGGGCCCGGTGCGGGTTCCTTGTCGGTTCCCGGCAGTCCCGGTTTCGGTGCCCGTCCCGTCCGGTGCCATCCCGGTCCCGTTCAGCGCCGGTGCCGAGCGGGTCCCGCCCCCGGCCGAGCGCCGCCCCCCGCCCGCCCTCGCGGGGCTCTCGGGGCTCTCCGGTACCGGGGCCGGTGCGCGGCGCGATGGTCCCGGCGGGGCCGCCCCGCTCCTGCCTGCTGCTGACGGCCGCGCTGCTGCCGCTGCTGCCGGTACCGGCCCCGGGAGCGGCCCCGGGGCCCCCCGCGCTCACCGACGCCGAGATCGAGGAGTTCCTGCGGGGCTTCCTCGCACCCGGGGACGGCGGGGACCGGGACCGGGACGGGGACGATACCGAGCTGGGCTTCGGCACCGACCTCAGCACCGGCACCGGCACGGGTGAGTGATGGGCACCGGGATCCCGGGAACGGGACGGGGCTCCCCCGGGCCGGGCCCGCCCCGCTCACTCCGCTCGGCCGCCGCTCCCCCTCCTGTCCCCGCAGGCGCTCCGGGGTCGCTGCCGGAGCCGGAGAAACCCAGGAAGGGGAAGAAGGAAAAGCCCCCCAAGAAACCCAAGGAGAGACCCCGGGGGCCCAAAAAGGACAAGGACAAGGACAAGGAGCGGGGCAAGAACAAACCCCCCAAGAAACCCAAGGAGAAGCCACCAAAAGGCTCAGAAAACCCAGCAAAAAGCTCAGAAAAAAACCCAAAAAGCTCCGAAAAGCCCCCAAAAGGCTCTGAAAAGCCCCCAAAAGGCTCCGAAAAGCCTCCAAAAGGCTCTGAAAAGCCCCCAAAAGGCTCCAAAAAGCCCAAGGAGAAGCCACCCAAGGCCACCAAACCCTCTGGCAAGAAGCCACCTGTGGCACCGAGCCCCCCCACTATCCAACAGCCCTCGCAGGGCAAGGAGGATGGAGAGATACCCGAGTTCCTGGAGCCTTCTCACAAGGAGGAGGAGGAGGAGGAGGAGGATGGAGGTGTCCGAGGTGAGATTTTGGGGCACCCATCTCGCCCCCAGTGGGGCTGGGGGTCTCAGCCCAGCTGAGCTTCACCCACATCCTGGCAGCAGCCCACAGCTGGCCGGGCTCTGTCCCCCTGGGTTTCCCCTCTGTCCCCCCACTTTCCTTCCCACTGTGGGGCTGGGGGGCCAGGACAGGGCCTGGGGAGGCCGTGCCAGCCCCTCACTCTGTCCCTGTCCCCAGCAGAGCTGGAGGAGCCCCCAGAGAAGCGCTGGGGGCCGGGCCGGGAGGAGTGGAGCCCTGAGCCAGGTGAGTGCCCAGCCCCAGGGCCACCACCCTGTGTCCTGGGGACACTCCTCTGCAGGCCAGGGCAACCACTCTGCACACTGGGGCTATCTCCTTGTGTTGGGACTCCTTCCCTGTCACCAAGTGCCACCTTCCTGCACCCCTGTGTCACCTTCCTTTATCCCAGCACCATCTCCCTGCACCCAGTGCCATCCCCTGTGAGCCCCAGGGCCACCTCCCTCCACTCGGGGCTTCCCTCCCGTTCTCAGGTGCCACCTCCCTGCTGTCCCCTGCCTCACCCTCTGTGTCCCTTCTCCCCAGAGGTCCCCGAGGAGCCGGAGCCCCCCACCCTGGACTACAACGAGCAGCTGGAGCGGGAGGACTACGAGGACTGTAGGGAGCTGGGCTGGCGCCGGGGGCACTGAGGGCACTGGGCTCGTCCCCCTGCTCTCAGCACACTCCAGTGCCACCCTCTGTGTCCCCAGTCGAGTTCATCCGGCGGCAGCAGAAGCCCCCCAAGCCCCCGGGCAGGAGGAGACCCGAGCGGGTGTGGCCCCAGCCCGAGGAGACACGTACGTGGGAGGGGGGGCACGGGGCTGGCACCCCTCAGGGTGACCCTGGGGACGGTCCCCAGTCTTGGGTGACATTGGGGACAGTCCCCAGCCTTGGGTGACATTGGGGACAGTCCCCAGCCTTGGGTGACATTGGGGACAGTCCCCAGGCTCGGGAACCCAGGGAAGCAGAACTTTGGGGCAGCTGGAGCTGGGGTGGATGTGGGGACAGTGTAAGGGGTGCAGGGACCCTGTAGGGGTGTGAGGGTCTCTTGGTGGCACAGGGGTCCTGTGGAGACACAGAGGGGTCCTGTAGGGACACAGAGAACCCTGCAGGGACATGGGGCCCCTCTGGGGCCCTCGCTGCCTCCCCATCTCCAGCACAGCCCCTCTCCCCCCTCCCAGCAGAGCCCGAGGAGCCCCCCCCGCGCCCCCCCCCGCAGCCCCTCCCGCCGCCCCCCCTGCCCGGCCCCGTGACCGAGGGTGACTACGGCGAGGGCTTCGAGCCCCCGGACTACGACGACTGTGAGTGAACGGGGAGGGACGGGGAGCCCCAACACCCCCATCCCTGCCCCCCGTCTCCAGAAGGCTGCCCAGCCCCCCCTGTGCCCCCCAGGGTCCTACGGGCTGCCCCCCCCCACCAAGCCCCACGAGCACCCGGACAAGGAGGACGGGATGGAGACGGACGAGGAGAAAATCAGAGCCTGTGAGAGGGGTGGAGGGGGGGACGTGTGGGTCCCAGGGTCAATGGCAGAGCCACAGGGAGGGTGGCATGTCCCTGGGCTGGGTTCCGTCCCCATGGTGGGTGTCAAATCCCCGCGGTGGGTGGCACATCACCAGGGCAGGTGGCACGTCACCAGGGTGGGTCACGTGTCCCATGGTCGGTGGCATGTCCCTGAGACAGGTGAGACACCTGCGTGGTGAGTGTCACCTCCCTGGGGTGGATGTCACCTCGCCAGGGTGGGTGTCATGTCTTCAGGGGTGGTGGCACATCCCTGGGGTGGGTGGCATGTCCCTGGGGTGAGTGACGTGTCTGCATGGTGAGGGAGGTGGCACGGTCCCGGGGTGGGTGTCACACCCCTGGCATCAGTGGCACGTTCCTGGGGTGGGTGGCATGTCCCTGGGACTCGTGTAACCTCCCCAACAGCGAAGCCCAAGAAAGAGGAGGAGGAGGAGGAGGAGCGCTGGGCAGAGGAGAAGGGCCAGGACCGCAAAGGTGGGTGCTAACCCCCATTCCTGTCCCCTCGCACCCAAAGGTGAGTGCCAGTCCCCATTCCTGTCCCCTCACACCTGTCCCCGTCCCTGCCCCCTCACTGTGCCTTCTCCTTTGCCAGGAAAACCCAAAAAACCAGGAGGAAAGAAGTGGGATCCAGATGAGGAGGAATGGGCCCCTCCAGCAGAGAAGAAAAGTGAGCGTCCCCATTGCTGGGGTGACAGGGACACCCTGCTGGGGGGGATGAGCCCCTCACCCCCTGCTGTCCCCAGGGTGTCCCCCAATCGGGCTGGAGTCCCACCGCATCGAGGACGACCAGATCCTGGCCTCGTCCATGCTGCGCCACGGGCTGGGCGCCCAGCGCGGCCGCCTCAACATGCAGGTGAGGGTCACCCCCAGTGCCCACCCCATGGTCACAGTGACACCCCTGCCCGTGCCCCACGGTCACAGTGACACCCCCCTGCCCACGCCCCCTCCCTCTCCCCAGGCGGGCCCCAACGAGGAGGATTTCTTCGACGGCGCGTGGTGCGCAGAGGACGACAGCCGCGCGCACTGGCTGGAGGTGGACACGCGCCGCATCACGCTGTTCACCGGGGTCATCACCCAGGGCCGCGACTCCCAGATCCAGTACGGCCACCTGGGGCTGCAGCCGGGGACCTGGGGGGGGCAGCAGCACGGGGACCCCCGTCCCAACCTGTCCCTGTCCTCCCACAGCGATGACTTTGTCACCAGCTTCTACGTGGGCTTCAGCAACGACAGCCAGCACTGGGTGATGTACAGCAACGGCTACGAGGAGATGGTGGGGACTGTTCTGGGTGGGTGGCGGGGCAAACATGGGGAGAGACCCTCTGGGGTACATCTCTCCCTCCTGGCAGATGTTTTATGGCAATGTGGACAAGGACACGCCGGTGCTGAGCGAGTTCCCCGAGCCCATGGTGGCCCGCTACATCCGCATCTACCCCCAGCGCTGGAACGGGAGCCTCTGCCTGCGCCTCGAGGTCCTGGGCTGTCCCCTCTCGGGTAACAGTCACCCCAAAGCAGCCTGGGGGCCACGGGGGTGGGACCTCTGCAGCCATCCCCCACTGCTCTGTCCCTGTCCCCTCCACAGCTGTCAGCAGCTACTACAGCCAGCAGAACGAGGTGACCTCCACGGACAACCTGGACTTCCGACACCATTCCTACAAGGACATGAGGCAGGTAGGCACTGCTGGGGGCTGGGATCCTCTGTAGGGGATGGGACACCCATCGTGGTGGGATCCTCCATGAGGAGTTGGCACATCTTTGGGACACGGCATTCTCTGTGGTTGTGGGCACTTCCATGGTGGTGAGCATCTTCATAGGGTGGGACCCTCCATGGGTGTGGGATTCTCTGCAGGGTGTGGGCTCGTTCCCCCAAGCACTGCCCCATGTCTCCCCACCCTGCAGCTGATGAAGGTGGTGAATGAGGAGTGTCCCACCATCACCCGCATCTACAACATTGGCAAGAGCTCACGGGGGCTGAAGATCTACGCCATGGAGATCTCTGACAACCCGGGCGAGCACGAGACGGGTGAGGGAGATGTGAGGGACCGGGGCCCCCAGCCACGGTGCCGGGTGTTTGCTGACCCAGCTGGGCCCCTCCAGGTGAGCCCGAGTTCCGCTACACGGCGGGGCTGCACGGCAACGAGGCGCTGGGCCGGGAGCTGCTGCTGCTGCTGATGCAGTTCCTGTGCAAGGAGTACCAGGACGGGAATCCCCGCGTGCGGGGCCTGGTCAGCGACACCCGCATCCACCTCGTCCCCTCCCTCAACCCCGACGGCTACGAGCTGGCCCACGAGGCGGTGAGGGGGCCACGGGGCAGTGGGATGGGGCAGGGGAGCAGCAGGGGAGGATTTGGGGTGCTGGAGTGGGCTGGGTGGGCTGTGGAGCAGTGGGATGGGATGGAATGGGATGGGATGGGATGGGATGGGATGGGATGGGATGGGATGGGATGGGATGGGATGGGATGGCAAAGCAGTAGGATGCAGCCCTCATGGCACACCACTGCCCTGGGCTGGCTGCAGGGCTCCAGGCTGGGCACCTGAGATGTGTCAGGGAAGGGGATGGGACCTGGAGCAGTGGGATGGGACACAGGTGGTGGCACACAGCCCTCCTGGACTCACCAGTGTCCTGGGCTGCCCGCAGGGCTCTGAACTGGGCAACTGGGCACTGGGTCACTGGACAGAGGAGGGCTTTGACCTCTTTGAGAACTTCCCCGACCTGGCCTCGGCGCTGTGGGCAGCCGAGGAGAGGCGGCTGGTGCCCCACCAGTTCCCCAACCACCACATCCCCATCCCGGAGCACTACCTGTCCGAGGACGCGGCGGTGAGTGCGGCACAGGGCACAGGGGCGGGGACAGGGCGGCAGGGGGTGACACCTCATGCCCCGTGCCTGCCTCACAGGTGGCAGTGGAGACACGGGCTGTCATGGCGTGGATGGACAAGAACCCCTTCGTGCTGGGAGCCAACCTGCAGGGCGGGGAGAAGCTGGTGTCCTTCCCCTTCGACACGGCCCGGCCCAGCCCCCCAACACCCGCAGCTGCCCCCCGCCCGCTGGACTACGAGGACGAGCGGCCTGAGCTGCAGGAGACCCCCGACCACGCCGTGTTCCGCTGGCTCGCCATCTCCTACGCCTCGGCACACCTGAGCATGGCCGAGACCTTCCGCGGGGGCTGCCACGCGCAGGACGTCACCGACGCCATGGGCATCGTGCAGGGCGCCAAGTGGCGGCCCCGGGCTGGCAGTGAGTTGGGGACAGGGGCCTGGCTGCCCCCCAACCCGGCCACTGGCAGGTGAGCGAGGGGCTGGGCGGGCGTGTCTGTGCTCTTGCAGGTATGAATGACTTCAGCTACCTGCACACCAACTGCCTGGAGCTCTCCGTTTACCTGGGCTGTGACAAGTTCCCACATGAGAGCGAGCTGCAGCAGGAGTGGGAGAACAACAAGGAGTCTCTGCTCACCTTCATGGAGCAGGTGTGTAGTGGGGCATGACCACAGCTGCCCTAGATGTCCCACGCAGTCCCACTCATCCCTCTCCCTCACTCAGACCCACCGGGGAATCAAGGGCGTGGTGACAGACCAGCAGGGAGAGCCCATTGCCAACGCCACCATTGTGGTGGGGGGCATCAACCACAATGTCAGGACAGGTAGGTGCTGTGAGGAGCTGGCAGGGCGCTGGCAGCACCGTGGCACCCCCAGCCCACCCGCTGCCCCCCACTTGCAGCCAGCGGTGGGGACTACTGGCGCATCCTGAACCCGGGCGAGTACCGCGTGTCGGCGCGGGCCGAGGGCTACAACCCCAGCGTCAAGACCTGCCATGTCCTCTACGACATCGGGGCCACCCAGTGCAACTTCGTCCTGTCCCGCTCCAACTGGAAGCGCATCCGGGAGATCATGGCCATGAACGGGAACCGGCCGATCCGCCGCGTGGTGCCGGGCCGGCCCATGACGCCCCGCGAGCGGCTGCGCCTGCGGCTGCGCCTGCGGCACCGCATGCGGCTGCGGGAGCAGCTGCGGCTGCGGCGCCTCAACGCCACCACCACCACCACCGGCAGCCCCACGGGCCCCCCCAGCACCGCCCTGCCCTTCCCCTTCAGCAGCACGGCCTACACGCCCTGGAGCCAGGAGCCGCCCACTGCCGGCACCTGGGAGACGGACACCGAGACAGAGGTTGTCACCGAGCTGGTGACAGAGACGGAGGGCTGGGAGCTGCACACGGGCACGGCGCAGCCCCTCACCACGGCCGAGACCTACACCATCAACTTTGGGGACTAGGGACACTGCAGTGACCCCTCACTCTGCTCCAAGCCACGGTCGGACGCTTTGGCATCCGCTTCCAACACCTTCCCTGAGCCCAGGCAGCTGCTCCAGGTGGGCTCCAGCCCCTCACCTCGCTGCTTCCAAGGACTGCAGGCATTGTTGCCAACAGCTGGCTGCTGTCAGGGACATGCTACCCCATCCCTCGGAGCTGGGCAGTGCCAGCCCACTGCCCGTGTCCCAGTGGGGTGGCAGGGTGGTACTGCTCTCCTGGGCAGGGCCCATGGAGGCGGGCACAGCCTTTCTCCCCTCCATACAGTTTTTGTTACACAAATAAATCAAGTTATATTGATATGAACATCTGGTCCCTCCAGTGCTTCCCCAGCTCTGTCGCCCCTCCCAGACAACAGAGAACGACAGTGGGTGCCAGGACCCCTTGAGCAGTGGGGGCTTGTGCAGTCTGTGCCCTCCCTGTGGTCAGTGTCCAACTTCCATGTCCCCGTCCTCAGTGTCAGCCCCGAAGCTGGAGAAGGTGATGGGCTGGCAGCTGAGGTCGCGCAGGTTGACGAGGCAGGCGGTCTGTGTGGCACTGAAGTCCGGCACCATCACCAGCAGCACCCGCTGCCCCTCCTTCCCTGCAAGCACAGGTGGGTGTCAGGCAGAGGAGCCCCCCGGCAGCCCCAGGAGGGTCTGGGGGTGCTGTGAGACCCACCTTGGAGCAGCTTGGACTGGAAGCGGGGCGCGTTGCCACAGAAGTAGACGTGAGGGCACTCGGTGAGGATAAACGGGTCAGATTTGTAGAACGGGTAACAGCCTGGGGAAGATGGGAATTAGGGGGGCAGCCCCTGGTAAAGCCCCCTCACTCAACAACCCCCCAGCCCTCACCATACCCAGGGTGTCTGGGGCTGTGGGACTGATGTGTCCTGCCAGCAGTGTCCACTCCAGGATCTCCAGGTAGTCATCCATGCTGCTGTACTTGAAGATATCACTGATGTTCTGTCCCGATGTCCCTAAAAACCTACATTATGGAGGAGGGGGGGAGCTTTAGATGCTGGGTGTGCCGGGACGTGTCCCTCGGTCCCACGGCACTGAGAGCCAGCAGAGCTGGCAGGTTTGCCTACCTGACCCCGTCCAGGCTGGCCTGGTAGGGGTTGGTGACGAGGCGCAGCGTGGCGTAGGCGCTGGCCAGGGGCAGCATGCAGCGGTGCAGGGGCTGCTGTGGCAGCGTGTAGTTGGTGGGGTCAAACTCGCCAGGCATCACGTCCACGGGCACGGAGGTCTGTGGGCAGAGTGGGATCAAACCTCCCTCCAAGGGGGCTCAGGGCAGAGCCCTGGTGTCACTGCTGCTCCTTTTCCCCAGGACACCCCGCTCGGCTCCACCAAGGATCCCAGGAGAAGGATTTGGACCTGCCTCCCCATGTGGGGTGCTCAAAGGGAAGCTGGGTGCTGGGGAAGGGGGTTCTGCCACCCTGCACCCCAGACTGCTACCCCACCTCAGGAACAAGGCTCCCTCCCCCAGAGGAACCCGACTTCCTGGCCAACCCCGAGCACTCACACAGAGCTGCAGCAGGATCTCATCCAGCATCTTCACAGCCTCCACACTTGCAGCCTGTGTCTTCTTGGTCAAGTACTTGGCCTGGGTAAGTAGGAAGACAGTGAGGGACAGCCCTGCACCCCCTCTGCCCCCTCCCCACACCCTCCCAGTGCCCCAGGTGAGGCCACAGCCCCCTCCTTGCTGTACCTTGTTGATGGTGTCCCGGCTCTGGGTGTTCTGGCTCAGCAGATTCCCGGCCAGGATGACACGGGTGATGTGGGCAGCACAGCTCTGCTCGCCCTCTGCACCCAGCTGGCCTGTCACCACGTCCACCAGCAGCTGAGTGCTCAGGAGGGCCTCCCCACTCATGCTGCCCAGCCCCAGCCCCGAGGCCAGCAGCACGAACCTGCACGGATGGAGAGGCTCAGTGTGCCACACTCCCAAACCGAGGGGCTCAGAGAGCCAGGGCAGGGGGCCCAGCCCCCCTGGCAGCCCCCCTGGCACGAGGGGCTCAGGGATGCAGCAGCCCCAGTGCTGCTGCTGCTGCTGCCGCTGCCTCACCGGTCGGAGCTGGGCCCGCTCCAGGGCAGCGGGGGCGGCAGGTCGGCCAGGCAGTGATCCTCCACCAGGAACCTGCCATCCTCTTCCTCACGGCCATACACAGCCACAATGGTCCCTGTGGCACAGCAGGCAGGCACTCAGCCCCAGCCGGCCCCTGCAGAGCCACCAGAGCCACGCTGTCCCTCACCTGTCACCAGCCTCTGCACATCAATGGCTCCATCCAGCTTGATCCTCTGCAGCTCATCCTCCAGCATCAGCTCGTCACAGGGCTGGATGTACTTGGGCAGGGGGGGCTGAGGCACCAGGTTGTGCTGCGAGGGCACAGGGACAGCTCTGGTGGCCTCGGCAAGGACCAGCAGCCCCCAGGGACCCTCCCCAACCCCAGCCCCCCACCACCAGTACAGCCAGCACCCCAGCTGGGGGGCCTGGAGCTGGAACCCCCTGGAGGGGCTGGTTTCACTCACTGAGATAGAGAGGTGGTAAGTGGATGGGGGGACAGATGGACAAGGGGTGGGTTTAGACTGGATATGGGGAAGGAATGTCCTGAATCCCTGGAAGTGTCTAAGGCCAGGTTGGACAGGGCTTGGAGCAACCTGGGCAAGTGGAAGGTGTCCACACACGTTGACACCAAGAGGTGGCACCAAGGTGGCATCCAGGGCCAGGCCATCCTGCTCAAATCTCTGCCAGTTCCCTGGCTACAACAAGCACGGGGAAGCCATGGTGAGCTCTCAGGTGTGCTGGCACAGCCCCTGAGCTGTGCAGAGGGGGGTGAGCCCATTACCTCCTCGCTGATCTCCTGCAGGATGGAGGGCTGGAGCTGCATGGCCTTGAAGAGCGTCCCCACCACGCAGCACTTCTCTCCCTCCTGCAGCTCCGAGAGCCTCCGCAGGGCAATGTCATCCCCTGTGGAGACACGGGGGTCAGGTCAGTGGCCCTGGGGTGGCGGCGGGCAGGGGCAGGGCTGGCAGGAGCAGCTGCAGGGCCCCGGTGCTGGGGAACGTTGGGAGCCTCCTGCCCCTCCTCTCCTCGAGGCACGGCGCCCAGCAGACATGTGTGGGCCAGATGGGGCCGAGGAGCATTCCAGAGCCTGCAAGCCTGCAGGCATTTCCTCTGTGCTGGGGGGGGAGCTGGGTCACCATGCTGTGCTCAGCTCCCACTAACAGCTCTGCCCGGGAAGGGCCCAGGATGCACCCTGGGCATGGGGGGCTGCTGCTCCTGCTCTCCACCCTGGGGACGACCCCAACAGGAGATCACTCAGCACCCCCAAACCTGATCTCTGCCAGGGCCAGATCCTCTGCCCCAGATACCTGCTGGAATTCAGGATCCCCATCACTGCCAGAGAAGGTCCTGGCATGCTGACAGGGCCCTGGGCTTTAGGCAGGGATCCACAGGGGATGTAGGCTGGGAGACGAGCAAAAAACTCCCTCATCACAAGGTGAGCCCAAAACTGGGGACCCAGAGGTGCTCCAGCCCCATCCAGTGCGTGTCCTCCCATCCAGGATGTGGCTGTGGGACTGTCATTCCTCATTTAACCCAGCCTGTGAAGTCCATCCTGGGCCTGAGGCCCTGCAGAAGAGTGAGGAACCTGCTTCTGGTCTCCTCTCCCAAAACAACACTGCCTGCCCCAGATCCTCGTCCTTTCTGGGTGACATTCCTCCTCCCCAAAACCCCACTTTGCTCATCACGTGCTGCTGAACGTGACTCTTGTCCCAGGGAGAGCACCCCGCTGCCATCGCTGGCACCCCACACTGGAAACAAGGCTTCCCGAGCCCAGGAATGCAAACACTCTGAGTCAGAACAAAAACAATCCCGTTGAAGTTTCTTATTTTTGGCTCAAGCTCCCCAAAATGTGTGTTTGGGGGGAGGGGGCTGTGCTCTCCAGATTTCTGCCTGCAGGCACTTCCTGCTGGGAGACAAAACCCCAAAATCTGGTCCCATCCCAGGACTCTGGGAGGTGGAGCTTTACAAACCCTGTCACACTTGGCAAAGCCCAACCAAGGAGGGACATCCACAGTGGGACCAGCACTGGCTTTGCCTCCACACAGCCCACGGGGCTGGGGAGAGCACAAGAACTGTGCTGGCCCAAAAACTCCCACTCAAGGGGTTTTTGCCCATAGAAGGGCAAAGCTGAAGGAAATTTGATCTCAGGCCGGGGAGGGGGGGCAGAGCCCCAGCAGTGTTGCTTCATCCTGCGGATGGAAACTCTGAGCGAGGGTCCCACCCGCAGAACCACAACCCCCCAGGATAGGAAACAGCCCCCCCAGCACAACCAGCACCTCTCACCCCCCCTGCACCCCACTTCCTGGCCTGGGCCCCCCAGCCCCACCCTGACAAACCTCACACTCAGCTCCTGCTCCCCAAAGCGTGTGGGGGGACGTGACAATCGTGGTCTCCCTGCCCCGGGGCAGTATTTTCCCTGGGGCAGTGTTTTCCCCTTTCCCTTGGCAGTGTTTTCTCCTGGGGCAGTGTTTTTCTCAGCGTTTCCCCTCTCCCCCGGGCAGCGCGTTCCCCCGGGCAGTGCTCCCCTCTCCCCCGGGCAGTGCGTCCCCGCTGCTCACCCCAGCGGCCGCGGGCGCGGCGCTCCAGGAGGGGCCGCATGCCGGCCAGGCGCACGGCGTACACGTGCGCGTACTGCCGGCAGAAGCTGCGCTCGCCCAGCCGGAACGGCTGCGACAGGTCCGAGTACCCCGCCACGGGCACCCGGGGGAAGGTGGGGGGCTGGCCCGAGGGGGGGGCCAGCAGCCCCTGCGCCGTGGGGGCCGCCTGCTCCGAGAACATCCTCGGGGGTGCGACGGCGGGTCTGCAAAACAAACCGGGGAATTGAGAATGTGAATCCGGCCCGGTCCGGCTCTGCAAAACAAACCGGGGTTATTGAGGGTCTGGGTCCGGCCGGGCCACCACTGTTACCCCAAGGAACAACAGGCCCCCCGAAAATGATCCTTCCACCCCCAAAATACAAACCGCGCCTGGGTCTGACCCTCCCTGTGCACGCTGCACCCCTCGGCGCCCCTTCCTCCCACCCAGGGCACCCCCAAACCCATCCTGGCGACCCTCGGCACCCTTCCTCCCCCCCAGCACCCTCAGCCCCCCTCTCCTCCCACCCAGGGCATCCCCAGACCCATCCTGGTGACCGCACCATCCTCTCCTACGATCTCCCCCCGAGCAGGACGCCTGAAGCCCCCACAAAGTGCACCTCGGCCACCGGATCCCCGCAGGCCCCTCTCCCAAAGGGACCCAGGCCCTGCACAGCCCCCTGGTCATGC